GAGTTGATTGCCCGATAGATGGGGTATTTTTATTTAAAGTACGAATCATAATACAAAATTTGTATCAACAAGTTGGATTGTTGTAAAGTTTATCAAAGATAAACTTTCAATTGAATCATTGGAAGACAACATTTAAGCTTATATTCGTGAGATACCAGTCGAAATTATGAAGTTAATATGCCAAACTTGGAATATGTGGATGACCATTTAAGGTGCCGTCCTGATCAATATATCGATGAAATAGCCTTCAAACATTAAGTTAATAATATGGACCGTACGCACTATCGATTCAAGTAAAGATTACATGCATTTTTCTAAATTTGAAATGTTTGTTTTACTTTCCTATAGCTCCTAATAAATCACCCGTTATTAATATCCTCCCCTCGTATGGTTTTCATATAGTATTCCAATTTTTACAAAGAAGTTCAATTTACCATTCCATTGTCACGTGCTATAGCTTTTGACTTTAGTTAACTGGAAAAACGATACAACAAATGTAGGATTGTCATCTTTGGTTCGAAAATTGAAAAGAAGACTGTCGCTTCGGCAAACAATTTAAACGTGACATTAATACTCTTCGTCTTTTTCATAAATGTCTCATTAATGCAGACATGAACAACGGCTTGATATTTAGTTCATGTCTCATTTATTGGAAAAGTCACAACAAAGAATTGAAAATATAGGTAAAAAGATGATGTTAAGACATTGTTTGATTTTTTGAAGGAATGAAAACAACAAAAATCGCTATGGAGGAATTTTGATTAGACGTAAATTAAATCATATTGAATTTAATTATTTTTTTCAATACTTGCTAAAACAATTTTTTGTTATTAGATGTGGGAGCTGGTTTTCTGCAGCTAAACTAATTTGAATACAGCAATCATTTAAAATTGCATCATACGTATAAATATGTTTAGGGGTATTTTTTTCGACAAAATTCAAACAAGTGTATGCCTTGCAGCTTACATAACACATATGTTAACTACAACAACAACAAAATCACTATTATCAATTAATATTGAACACCAAAAATAACTAAACAAAAAAAGTTATTCCAAAAAAATAATTGTATCGAAATTACACCTTTGAACACGGCTTGATTGCATTAATTTCTGTGGAGGCCTAAAACAAGAATTTCTGCCGAAACTTTCAAAAAAGTCAAAAACAATTTTCGTTATTAGCACTAAGTACAAAATTGCTGCAGCCAAAAAAAAAGCTACACATACGCTCTGTACCAAAATTCATTCGTTGTGGGCTTGCAAATTTCTTGTTGAAACATTTTTTCGGATTAAATAACTTTTCAATGAACGTAAACTATTAAATTTGGTTATATACATATATGTTTGCCATGTACCCAATTTAAAAACGATTAATATAACATCATAATCACCACATGATAGCAAATATATTTTTCTGCACTACTTACGTTCTGGCCAATTGTATGGAAATATCCAATAAGAGTTCACCAACGGTGGCAATATCTTCAGCCTTCCAATCACCTTTGGGCTGGGAAACATCTGCAAGAGATAAGAAATTGAAACAAAGATTAATTAATCACATGTAATTAATGATAAATTTATATAATTTTGAATGTTTGGGAAAGTCAATTCTAAAGATCAATGTATTTTAATGAAAAATGTAGGAATGAATTTGAAAGAAATCACAAAATTTCGGAAACTCAAATTCTGGAAAAAAATTACATTTTGTTTCTATATTTATAAGTTATATATACTAATAATAGTAAAATTTATTATACTTTAAAATAAGAATATTCGACAACTACTCAAGTAAATTTTACATACTAAAAATTGAACTGCATTTTTATGATTTCCACAATTAAATATAAAATTCGCAATATATGAATGGATATGTCATGATTGCTTTAGGAAACTAAACTCTTTCTATTTATTGTAAGGGTAGTGTATTTCTTTGTACGGATTCTGAGTTTCACAATTAAAGGAAAATCTGAAGATACAAACGTTTTTGTTATGTTTATGTTTGCAATAGTAAATCTTCTACACATTTATGTAGAATTTCCTTTGGGTTCTGTTATAGTAGCTACTCCTTGCCACTTATTGTAAGGGGAGTGTATTTCTTTGTAGGGGACACTGACATTGCAATTGAACTATCGGAAGATCCAAACGGGTATGCCATTTTGCGGCAGGAAATTATTAACCCAAAAACAAAAAAAAAAAAAAAGATTATGTAGAATCCCTTTTTGGGTCCTGTAATGGTTTCTCCTTCCCTAATGAATTTAATGGAAAAGTGACATTTTATTGCCGACCTATTCATGACTGGTGTTCAGATTCTGGTAAGGATAATGCACCAGCTGGTTAGTACAATTTGGCTAGAGGAGTGCATGCCCAATAATTGGAACCTCAGCATCCTGGCCCGTGCACAGAAAAAGGAGACAAGACGATATATGTCAACTATAGAGAAATACCTCTCCTTGTCATCGCATATAAAGTGCTATCCAGCGTACTGTGTGAATGACTGAAACCAATGGACAATGACATTATTAGACCATACCAATGTGACTTCAAACAAATCCACCATTGATCAGATTTTCACTCTGCGCCGAATCCTGGAAAAGACCCACGAAAACACATCGACATATTCCCCCTATTCGTCGACTAAAAAGCTGCATTCGACAGCTCCATCTGTTCAGAGGTATTTAAAGGACCTCTCGGAGCCCTTCGGTACCGAACGAGGATTCAGACAAGGTGACAGTTTGTCGTGTGACCTGTTTAACATCCAGCTGGAAAAGGTCATACTAGAGGCACAAGTGAACAGACATCTCTCCCTGTACACCAAGCAACACATATTACTCGCATACACCGATGATCGATATAATGGGTCGAACATTGTGAGCGGTAATAGACCTTTGAACAAATTTAGAAGAAGTCTACCAAAGTGGGTCTGACAGTAAACGCCGAGAAGGTCAAACTGACGTCCAGTAGACTGGGACCAACTGTGGAACTTGAGAAGTACAGTTTCGAGGTATTTAAAGATTTTTATATTAAAGATTTTATATATTGGTACCGCCATAAATAAAACTAATGACATCAGTTTTGAAATTCGGAGAAGGATACAGATGCTACTATGGTCTAAGTAAGCAGTTAAGAAGCAATACCACCTCTCGCCAGACCAAAACTCACACTCTACATGACGCTGATACTACCCATGCTATTATATATATCTGAAGCAGCTCTTGTTTGAGAGAAAAATTCTCCGAAAGATCTATGAACCGATCTGCGTTGACGGGGAATATCGCCGTCGAAAGAACCATGTCAGACATTTCAAGCTGGATGAAGTTGGCCAGCTCAAATGGTATATAAAAACGAACTAGCTGATGGTTCATGCATAAGGAGAAGGCCACGAATTATATGGAAAGATCAAGTGGAAGACAACATTGCCGAACATGGTCTTTCAAATTGGAATAACTGCACAAAAGACCGACGAGCCAGGAAATCTTTTTTTTTTATGCTCGGCTTATTGAACAACCGTTATGTGGATGATGATGGTTCTGTAAAATGTCTTTTATCTGAGGAATATGAATATATCCCCCACAAAATCAACAGCCACACTGTTCACCACATTGACGGCTGAAATGAAGCTTCCGCTGAACATAATGGTCGATGGAAAATTGATTCCAAGTACAATCTATACTGGGTTTAACGTTCGCATCTAGTCGTCTGCGCAACCCACTGCTTTATGTGATAAAGTGATATGTGGGAACTATGTCCTCAAGTCTCTAGCCTGAAGCACATGGGGCGCTGACAAAGAAAGCCTGTTGACTTCTTAGAAAACAATAGTAGTCTATGCGGCACCAATGTGGTATGCGAATGTAAGAGATACGCAGTGGAAGAATATCCAGACCTGCTATAATGCGTTCCTGAGAACCATGTTCTACACCATAGTATGGAGGGTATATGAATTTTGTTTTTCCGTTGGTAACTCATGGAAATAATCATTTCCGACCCAATAATGTATATAATCTTGATCAGCGTAAAATTCTATGACGCCTTAGCCATGTTCGTCTGTCTGTTGTAATCACTCTAGCGTCTAAACGAATATTTTTTTTGCACATAGTTGTCTTTGGTCTGCAGGCAGGTCATGTTCTCTATCGGTCCACCTTTAGGCACAGCTCCCATATAAGGTTGCCCCCCAATTCTCGGTATTTTGGGGTTCTTGATATCGTGATAAAAAACTCAAACCTGATGATGATGAAATATATAGGCCAGCATTAGGCATCTCCCCCATATTATGATACCTCCTGAAGGAAAGTAGTAAGATACAAAACTAAAATATTGGGTTCGAATTTGAGCTATATCACATTTTTCACTTGTTCCTATACGCTTTTTATTTATTTTGTTTTAATTTCTTTGGTATTTATTGTTTATATTTCATTCCACATGCAATTAAAATATTTTATTTTCTTTAAGAGTTTTACAATTGTTATTATTAAAATTTAATATTTTCTATGAAAAAAATACGTTCACTTACGTATTCTCTTGCGAGCGTCCAAATAGGCAGCATTTACAGCATCATATGTTATACAAGTTGAGTCCCCATTTCCATAAGGATTTCTAAAAAAGAGAAGAAAACAAATAAATTAGAAAATCGATTACAATACATTTTATTAGGTTATTGTTTCATTTAACAGCAGTAAATACTTCTATTTCTTTTATCACATGTGACCAGACACCACCCACCCCCAAACACCAACTTCAGACACAGTCTATCAACACCCACGCACATTTCACTTTCGCTTGCAATCAATTTGCCGCCTAACGACATAAGGATCAGATAAACGCATTATTAACAATAGAAAGGATTTCAAGTGAATAAAATGGCAATGATGGTGGTTGCGGTGTTGGCGATGGTGGTCTATACATAAAAATCCTTTAAGCTCCGTGCAATATGCTATACGGTGTTAGTCTTGTTTTGTATTTCTTTGAGAACGGTTGTAAAGTAGCATTTTTTTGTGATTTTTTGTTATGGAGTGTGCTCGGAAAAAATTGGAAGACATTGTGGCCAAATGCCATACGGAAAATATTGATGTTTTGAAAATCGAAAGTATTAATAAATTTTTGCTGGAAAATAAAAAATCATCGAGTCATAAGGAAAAATGGTTGAAATTTTTGCTGGTGACAAGTTTGCTGACATATGCCATTAATTATTATTTTACGGAGTTGCAATCGAAGGTAAGTACAATAAAATTTTTCTTGATTAAATGTGGCCTACTAGGGTTTTCTCGAGATTTTTTAAAAATAAGGACTTAAAAGGGACACCCTTATAATCGCTTTAAAATATCAATGACTACCAACTTCTGAAACCAAGAAATCCATTTTTTCAATGATGGGGCTGTGAGTTGGTATATTGCGTTCTTGAAAGGTAATTCAAATTCTCATTTTCGAATCTTTTTTTAGAATTTCGGAATAGCAGAAAATAAAAGCCCCGCGGCATTTTCTAATCGAAATAGTTTCAATTTGTCGCTTTGCTTTCTCGGAGGATAATCTACCATCGTGCGGAAATTTTTAATATATCTCCATAGGTCCCTATGGTGAAAAGTAAAAAGCTCTTCCGAGTTTGTTCGACTCAAAGTTGAAATAGGATAACCACAGGAAAAATTGTCAAGTCCTAGTCATAGAATCCAGCTCCAACGTAAAAACCCTACATTGTATACTCTCCAAATTAGAATTCTTAACAACCCACATTCCGTTAGGAAATGGAATAGGCCAAATCGATCGAATTTAATTTGAGTTCCTTGACATATTTTCAGAGATGTACCTTTCAAATGCCTAACCTAATGCGTTACGCCTTTCGCCCCCCTGAAAGTTGTACGTTTTGTGAAAATGTGGATCAAATCGAGAGGGTCTCCAATATAACACCCCAGGAATTTGAAAGAAAATATGCATATTCCGCAAAACCAGTGATTGTGGGGGACGCCACCAAAAATTGGACAGCATTGGAGGTATGTAAGGAGAAGGCGTTTACACTTTTTTTTATTAAATTTGAAACTTTGTATGTGTTCCAGAAATTCAACTACTGGTATTTCCACGATGTCTACAATAATGCTCAGCGCAAAGAAAAAATATTGGATTGCCAATTTTTGCCATACAAAACGGGATTTCGTGATATTTTCGAAGCTCTAGATATGCCGGAGAGTAGAGTGGAATATTTCCAAAGCAACGATGTTCAAGGTGATGTACAAAAACCATGGTATTTTGGGTGGAGTAATTGTAACCCCGAGACGGCAGAAGAATTTCGGCGACACTATGGAAGACCGTACTTTTTACCAGAGACCTCTGAAAATAATAATGTGGATTGGTTTTTTATTGGCACAGCCGGATTGGGAGCGCATATGCATGTATGAAAACTATAAAAAACACCAAACATTATAATAAATTAAATTGAAAAATAAAATATATTTTTACGTAATTCTTTGATTTCTTCCTTACAGATTGACAATGTCCGTTTACCCTCGTGGCAGGCCCAACTCTCAGGCAGTAAACGTTGGCTATTGGCACCACCACCCGAATGCTATTTCAAATGTAAATCCTTTGATGCCATTGTCAATAAAGGCGATATAAGTAGGGTTTCGATTTCTTACTTCTGTATACGATTTTAATATTTTTCAAACTTTAATTTTATTTTTTTTCCATTCTAGTTGTTTTGGATACAAACAAATGGTATCATCAGACATTTGTGCAACCAGGTGAAATAAGTCTCACAATAGGTGCGGAATATGATTAAATATAAAATTTGCTTTCAAACTTTAAACACGATTTATAATAAAACTAACAACAACAATACCATATACACCATCAGTTGATTTTAAAGAAAAGGAGAGGAAAACATTTGTGCATGTTGGCGATCTTTGACCCCATAATATGTTTTTTCTGGTTGTTTTAATAAAAAGGAGCGGTTTAATTCAAATTCATTTAGTAAAAGGAATTTCAGAGCGCTTAGTTTTTTGTGTTATTTTAATAATCACCAAAATTCTGGATTTCGATAACTTGAAGAATCTTGCAAAAGTGTTCTATCGTTGAAAATCAGACAGGAGACCTTCTGATTATAGAAGCCTTCTTAGATAGAATACATTGTATATGGCGCTAGGAATATAAAGCCTCCTATCTTCTATGGATATCAGGCCTTTTTCAGATCCCACCTAGACATAAGACCGTCTACAGGTCTCCTATATTCTGAAAACCTTCCACAGATCCTATAATAATATACTTTTAAGGCTTATCAAAGAAATAATCGGGGATTTTGTATCATATTAGGGCTATCATGTGATTAAACTTGGGTTTTTTTAAGACAGGAGTATTTAAGAACTAAACGTGGATTTTATAAAAAAAAACTTAAGAACTATCAAAGGATTAAGCGAAGATTTCGCAAAAGAAAGATAAGTATCAACCTAGACCTAAACGTGGATTTTATAATATATTTTCAGGGCTATGTGCGGATTTTATAAAAAATATATATTTTTTATAAAGATCTTTCAAAGAGTTAAGTATCTACAGAGAACTAGGCGTAGATTTTGTAAAAATATATATTTTAAGGACTATCAGAGGACAGTGTGCGGATTTTATAAAAAAAAAATATTGTTAGACCGAGGATCCTATACACTTTTCTTCTATGGTCTGAAACACTGGTCGAAATTCCTCGAACAGGTCAGCTAAAAATACTTTCTACAAGTATTCTATATACAGGGGACGCTTTACTGGTATTCAATGAACAGAAGTCCTACCAGAGGTCTTCTATAGATAGAGGACATTTGACAGGTCTTCTGAAGTCAGAAGACTTCTGGTAGGGCTATTGATTATCTGGTAGGACTATTGATTATCAATGCACAAAAGATCCTTTACAGGACTTCTGTAGACAAACGACCTTTTTGACGATCGAACGGTGTAACCTTTATAACCATTATTTCCTACCGAAGGGCCTGTACAGTTTTTTTTGCCTTCTTGAAGATTAAACAAATTTGAGAATATAAGCCCAATATTTGACATACCTTATGAAGGATTATTTAAGGACTAAGCGAGGAGTTTATAAAATAAATTAGTACAATCAAAGACCGCCAGGGGATTAAGAGTGGATAATATAAAAACTATTTTTAAGGACTATCAGAGGCCTAGGAGTGGATTTTATAACCAAAATACAGTGCGCCATCTATAGAGGAACGAGTCCCCTTCCCAGCGCATACAAAGTGCTATCCAGCACACTGTGTGAACGGCCATACCAATGCGGCTTCAGGCCTGGCAAACACCATTTCCAAGATTTTCACTCTGCGCCTAATCCTGGAAAAGATTCAAGAAAAACACATCGACATAATTCACATATTCGTCGACTATAAAGCAGCATTCGACAGCCCTATCCGTTCAGAAGTTTTTAAAGCCATGTCTGCGTTCGGCATTCCTGCAAAATTAATACGGATATGCAGGTTAACTTAAACTGGCACACTGTCAGCAGTTAAAGTCGGAAAGGACCTCTCGGAGTTCTTCCATACCGAATGAGGATTTAGACAAGGTGACAATTTGTCGTGGGTCCTTTTTAACATCTTGCTGGAAAAGGTCATACGAGATGTAAATGAGAACAGAAATGACATTCTGTAAACCGAACATTGCGAGAGGTAAAAGGTGGCTATCTTTGACCGAATTGAGAAGGAGTCTGCCAAAGTGGGACTGACAGTAAATGGCGAGAAGACCAAGCAGATTATATCAACCCACCAGACATCCAGTAGACTCGGACCAGCTGTGGAACTTGAAAACAGCTTCGATGTAGTGAATGATTTTATACACCTCGGTACCGCCATAACATCAGCTAATATACTAATAACATCAGCTTTGAAATCCGGAGTAGAATAGTGTTGGCCAACGGATGCTACTATGGTCTGAGTAAGCAACTCAAAAGCAAGGCCATCTCTCGCCAGACCAAACTCACACACACTCTACAAGACGCTGATATTACCCGTGATGTTGTATGGACCTGAAGCATGGGTACTTGCGCATGCAGATGAGGCAGCTCTTGGAGAGTTTGGCAGAAAAATTATCCGGAAGGTCTGTGGGCCGATCTGCGTCGACGGTGAATATTGCCGTTGAATGAACCATGAGTTGTACCATCTATTCTATTCGGACATCCACATAGTCAGACGTATCAAGCTGCAGCGCCTATGTTGGCTAGGCCATGTTGTGAGAATGGATGAAGATGCCCCAGCTCAAAATGCATATAAAAGCGAGCCAAGTGATGGTTCACGCAGAAGGAGAAGACCACGCATCCGATGGATAAGTAGAAGACAACATAAAGTAGAAGACAAGATCTCGGAAAATGGTCTTTAAAATTGGATGAGATGCGCACAAGACCGACCCGCTGGGAAATACTTTTAAGCTCGACTTATGAAACAACCGTTCTGTCATAATCCAGCTATGTAAGTAAATATTCATTTCGGGAAAACAAGATTTGGAAAATCCGCCATGGTTAGAAAGTGAAGCTGTTGGCCTATAATCGATCAGGAGGGCGAAATATTGCCCAGGATCAGAATTTTGAAAGTTAGAAAATTAGGAAAGTTAGATTTTGTGTAGGGTATTATATGGTCGGCTCGTCCGACTCCGCTCACTGATTTCTAAATACAAAAGAAATCTCTTTCAAAAAATGGGAAAGTACCACATGCGAATATCTGAAAAAATATTTTACCTTCATAAAACGAAATCTACACATATTTAAATGTATTTAGAGGCACACTTGCACTGCACTCTTTTGATAGTCGGAATTGGATTAAAAGTGAAGGGCTTTTGCTTTTTGGGGTTCAAGGAAAAATAATAAACGTCACTTTAAAAAACCTGTTGCAAATGTCACTGTAACAGACACAGAGATGCCAGCTGAAATCCATACAACTTTCACGATCAAAATGAAAAAAAAAAACTACAACAACAAACATTTAAGGTTTCCCCTCCTTGGCCAAAGCAGCAGCATTGGCATGGAGCCTTGCCAAGCAGAAAACGCATAAATGGTTGCGGCATTACATCATAACAAAAACCAAAAAACACACCAAAACTGGGCACAGGCTCACGATTTTTGCCGATTGTTGTTTGTGTGTGTGTGTGTATTTTTTTTCTTTGATTTCTTCT